AGTAGAGATGGGGTTTCACAGTGTTAGCCAGGATGGCCTCGATCTCCTGACCTCTCATGATCCGCCCACCTCAGCCTCCCAAAGTGCTGGGATTACAGGCGTGAGCCACCACGCCCGGCCTTGTCTTAGATTTTTATAGGGAGGAGCAGACAAGTTATTGGTGGGGTGATTTACTGTTGGGGTTGTTTTGCAATCAGAGGAAGTCTTGGCCAGTTAGCTGAACAGGAAATATTTACCTCTATGTCTAACTTGTTTCAGGGGATGAGTCGTCCTAATCTCAGCTAATCATTCATGTGACAAAGAATGGGGAGTTGGAGGGTCTGTATCTGGTCTTGTTGGCAGGTTCAGGCAAAACGGGAAAAGGCTGTGTTTGGCCTTATCACAGGACAAGGGAGTCACCTGTGAGTCCTATGGGAACCGTGAGGAAGAATGGACAGAGTCTTGTCTAACTTATATGGGAAAGAGTGGTTCTTTGTAGTAAGCCATTTCCCAGAGCACAAAAGGGTTGGGGGATTTCTTAACCATTGCTGTTTTCTGGGAACACAGGACTCAGGTAAAGTTGGACATTGTCAATATGCAAACTCTATCTTGTCCTATAGACTTCCAATTTACTTTCTCCCCAGTCCCCCTTGGAAAAACCAGTTTTGTCTCCATTTGCAATTTCCTATCTTTATTGTATATACATTGATGATTCTTGATGTTTCCTTTGAGCCTTTTATAACATCTGCCTGATGATCTCATATCATCTTAGTTTAACCAATTCTTTAACACATACTCCTTTTTACATTCATATGAGAGTAATGATTTTGCCCTTTTCTGAAAATTACCTTTTATCAGTACAATCCAGAGAGTCTGTTCAGAACTCACCAGTTATACATCCATTCATTAGTGCATGTGAACAAGCTGTGAGAGGCAAGGAAATTCTGAGAGCTGGGGAAGATGGGTCAGTCCAAAGGCGGCCACAGTGGAGACTGACACTCTGAGGTTAAGAGTTATCAGGTAGAGTGAGATAGGACTTCTTTGGTGGGATCATTCTGAATTCAGAGTCTAATGTTTAGTTTTTCATGGTTAAGAATTATATAATTTCTGCGGGGCACAGTGGCTCATGCCTGTAATCCCAGCACTTCGGGAGGCCATAGGGGGCAGATCATTAGGTAAGGAGTTCGAGACCAGCCTGGCCAGCATGGTGAAACCCGGTCTCTACTAAAAATACAAAAATTAGCTGGGAATGGCGGCACGTGCCTGTAGTCCCAGCTACTCAGGAGGCTGAGGCAGGAGAATTGCTGGAACCCGGGAGGCGGAGGTTGCAGTGAGCTGAGATCATGCCAGTGTGCTGCAGCCTGGGCTACAGAGCAAGACTCAGTCTCAAAAAAAAAGAAAGAATTATATAATTTCTGCACTCCTTGGCAATGGCCTGGATGTGTTAAAATAGGAGACTGAGAGTTTGACAAATTTGAGTCCAAATCCCAGTTTGACCACTTACTTGCTGTGTGATCTGGCAAAGGGTGTTATTCTTTTCTACTTTGGTATTCTTACCTGCTAAGTGGAAATAATATCAGTACTTACCCCACAGAATTGTTGTAAGTTTCAAATGAGTAATGAAATGTGATGAGCTTGGCACATAGAAAGCATTCAGTAAATGTTGGCTATTATTATTAAAATAACTTTCTGTGTCCACTCCAAGAGAAGGCCTAAATTAACAACCTTTCATGAAAACCTGCAGAAGCCACATGCCTCTGCTACGCACCAGACCCCTTAACACTTAAGCAGAGTTCTTGCTCAACAGGGATAAATGGAGTAACATTTTATCAACTTGCCAACTTCAGCAGTACGTCAATGAGGAAAATCATAGCTGCATATTAGTTATCATGTAATCTTTGTTTTCTCTGAAACTTTTATATTTCTTTTCATGTAACCTTTTTTTAATGAAGGCAATTCACTAAGTCTGAATGCAATTTTATCTGTAGATTTTTATAAAGTTGTTCATGTAAATTATTTTACAAATCAAAAAAAGGAATCTGACAATGTGTCCAAATTTTAGTCAGGAAAATATGGGTAGTTTAGGTATCCTACACACAGCATGCGTTTTTGCGTATACCCCAAGGTCACCAATGACCTCAGAGGGGTCTCGGTAAGGTCCCCACAGCGGGGTGGTGAGGGCCTCCTAAAGGACTGGCAAATCCAAACCCTTTTTTTTCAGGTCTTTGATTTTACATATCACTAGGGACCTTTCCTGATAACCTGCTAATTCAGGGTTGCTAAGATGATGCATTTGTAAACTAAAATTTGCACATTACTTGAGTGTCCTCAGGATTGAAATCTGACATTCTACTAAGATCCTGTAGCCTCTGTCAAAGTCATGACACCCTTGCCTGCAAGCAGACATGAGGATCTCTAAGGACGCTTTCAAACAAACCAAGGCTGGGGCTCACGTCAAAGGTTCTGCCTTAGTTGGACTGGGGTAACACCTAGGCAATAGGATTATATTAAAAGCTCCTCAGATGATTCTAATATGCAGCCAGGATTAAGAACCATTGCTCCAACTAAAGCATTCTTTCTCCCCTGAACTTTATAGTAGTTTATCTTTAATGGCACTCAGCAAAACGTTAAAAACATGTTCTACATCTAACTGAAATTATTTAACACACATATTTCATTTCTTCTGCTGGGCTAGAAGCTCTTTGAGGACAGAGCTTGTGTTTGATTCATGAACAGGGTTTTGAACAGGGTTTAGCCAAGGACATTTGGTCTTACTATCTATCAGCTGTGCCCAATAAATATTTGTTAAATGCATAGCTGAAGCCTTACCCTAAGAAAGAACTACAAAAACCGAAGCCTTAAAACAATTGCATGCTGGGGAGGCCGAGGTGGGCAGATCACCTGAGGTCAGGAGTTTGAGACCAGCCTGGCCAACATAGTGAAACCCCTCTCTCTACTAAAATAAAAAAATTAGCCAGGCATGATGGCGGGTACCTATAATCCC